CACAGATACATGCACAGCGTGTGACTGGAGTAACAGTGAGGGCCTGAGCGGCCACCTCAGAGCCGTGTACACAGATACACATGTGGAGAGTGACTGGACTGCTGTGGGCCCGCACCAGCCAGCCCCGGAGCCGTGTACACAGATACATGCACAGTGAGTGACTGGAAGTGCCGGCTTTAGCGGCCAGCCCCGGAACCCTTTGTGCAGACGGTTTTGGCAGCAGGATTCTGAGAAATGGCAGGAGGCCAGAGAAGGAGACAGAGCTAAGAATAGCTAAAAAATACCAAATGCTGAGGGTGGGAATGTGCTGGCCCCTGTCACTGTCATCCTCACTGTGGCCCGCTTACCGGGATTCTGAGAGCCTCCCTTTCCCCCTTCTGCTCGCTAATTCGGGCACATCCATACATGTGTTCGGTCCCCATCTGTGCTTGGCCTGCGCGGAGGCCGGGGCCCGTGAGCACATGTGAGGCCTGTCAGCTGTCAGGGACAGGAGCGCGCCTTGGGCACGTTGGATGGGTGGCAGGGCCCTGCAGACGCGTGGCTCTGAACACATCTCTGTACTTCCAGACCATCATTAAAGAAGGAATGCTGACCAAACAGAACAATTCATTCCAGCGATCAAAAAGGAGATACTTCAAGCTTCGAGGACGGACGCTGTACTACGCCAAAACTGCAAAGGTGAGGGGGCGGAGGGAAACCTCACGCAGAGCCATCCCAGGGCTGAAGGGCAGGAGTTGGGGTGTGCATCTTCATGCTGGGCAAAATGCTTCCATTCTCAGATTGCCGATTTCCAGCTAGCTTTATAATGTTGTATTTGCCTCAAAGCTTGCTTTATTTCTTACAGACAAATTAATCTTTACTCATTTTCTTGGTATTTAATGTCATGTCACCCACGAGGAAAGGAAAAAATGTCACAGAAATAACACATTATATAATAACAATCTTTCTTTTCAGAAAGATTGGGGATCACAGGCTATGGGTCTCTTATTATGAATGAAAAACATCTTTGAAGTGTGTTGGGCTTCTTGCTGTGCGCGCAGAAACATGAAATTCTGTATTTCTCGGCTTTCTAGCTCTTAGCCATGTTGTATGTAAGATTTAAAGCTGCAGTCACCAGGCAGATGCTAGTTTTTGTGAAAATCACTGAATTACTGCCATGTTTAAGTCAACATGGTGTTAAAGATTTCCAGCAGTAGCGTGTTCGCAAAGCTAGTTTTTAAATTCTGAATACCCGTGTTTTTGCTCCTTGCCAGAGCAAAAAAACTAGTGCTGGTATTTCTGCATTTGTGTCTTGTAACACAAAGCATGACTGAATGTCGGTGTTTCACACACTGTTAATCGGAAGAATACCGATATTTTGGTGTTAAAAAGTTGAGTCTGAATCATTTACATTTAGAGATGTATCCCTAGAGAGTGAGATAGCGCATTAAAATTTAAGGTGAGTAAAGCATCTTGTTTAGAAAGTGTACTGACCACATCTCTTTTTAAAAACCCTTAGTTATTTTAGTTCTTGGTGTGTAAGTGGTGGCTGCGGGGAGAGTGTGCTTAAAATACTAGTGTCTTCTCTTAGTTATTAGTTGTTAGTATTTCCTCCCGGGCCTCCCAGTGGAGTGCTCTTAGCATAGCGGGTCAGACAAAGGGGAGGTGGAGGCCAGGTGGGGAGCAGAGAGGAGGCATGGGGAAGGAGGGCCCAGGCCTCATTCCCAGCCTTCTTCTGGAGCCTGATGTTTCCCTTTCTCCAGGACTAGATTTCCTCTGCTCTGTCCCCTCGCTTCCCTTCTATTTGGGCCTGTTTCTCTTCCCCGGGAGCCCCCGTGGCATAGTGGTTAAGCATTCCCCTACTAACCAAAAGGTCAACAGTTTGAATCCACCAGCCCCTCTTTGGAAGCCCTATGGGGCGGTTCTACTCTGTCCTATAGGGCTGCTATTAGTCGGAACCGACTTGGTGGCAGTGGGATTGGTTTGGTTTTTTGCTCTCTTCCCCTAGAAAAATTTATTTTAGCGATCACCTTTCCCCCAAGCCTGCTAGCTGGAAAGCCTAGGACCCAAGGACGGGGCATCTTCAGGCCGCACCTGGCTCTCCCAGGTGGAACACTTGCGAAACACCGCGGGAAACACCGTGCTTTGTGTCACACAAATGCAGAAATGCCCGCACTGGTGTTTTTGCTCTAGCAAGGCGATCACCAGTGAACTCCCTGGGCTAAAAAAGCTCACGGAACGGCGCCTGTGAGCCACTGTATGTGCTTTGTTAGACGGTTGGGTGGTCTAAGCTAGCAGCCATTGATTGATGAAGTGCTACAGCTTCAAGGCCCTTGGGTGTCTGCGGGTCTTGGCAGGGAGTGGTGGGCAGCACGGGCCTGGGTCAGGGCTTCTGCCTCGGCAGGGCTCGGGGATGTGCCTGTCCTGGGGGTGCCTCTGTCCCGTCCTGACTTCCCTCCCTGTGCTTGTCTCTCTCCAGTCCATCATTTTTGATGAGGTGGATCTGACAGATGCAAGTGTGGCTGAGTCCAGCACCAAAAACGTGAACAACAGCTTTACGGTGAGATTCTTGGTGCACGCCTGCCTTTCTTGACTCTTTGCCATACTTGACATTCCTTTTTGCTTTGAATGGCCATGTGAGAACGACTCACACTTTTCTCATCCTTCTCTTTCTGACTGGAACCATTCCTGGTAAATTTTGACTTTAATGCTGAAAATAATAATAATTCTTAATGCTGAAAAAAAACTGAGAATTTTACATTTCTTATCAATGTAAAATTTGTTTTTCACGATTATTGTAGAAAGTTTGGAAAATACAGGAAAGTATGTTGAAGCAATTAGAAAACAACCATAATTCAGTTACCTTGAAAGAAAAATATTCATATTTTGGCATGTTTCTTTTTCTTTTCTTTTTCACTTTTAAGCCTTTTTCCTCCCCAAATTTATAAAAGTTACAGTGCTTTCTACAAAAATTCTAAATGCGTAGAATCTGTAAAGAAAAAAGTGGGGGAAAAATAAAACACATGATCTTACCACCCAGAAGCAACCAGCTGCTTACTCTAGAGTGCACGGCCTTACATGGGGTCCCTGGGAGGTGCAGATGGTTAATGCGCTCACTACTGACTGAAAGGTTGGAAGTTCAAGTCCACCCAGAGGTGCCTCTGAGGAAAGGCCTGGCGATCTACTTCCAAAATATCAGCCATCGAGAACCCTGTGGAGCACGGCTCTACTCTGAAACACATGGGGTCACCGTGAGTCAGAATCGGCTGGATGGCAACTGGTATGTCTTTACATACGTGCACTTGTGAGATCCTGCTGGTCTTTTTGTTTTGTACCTGTTTTTTCTTTTTCTTGACGATTTGCTGTGGACATTTTCCTGTGTCAGCTGACATAAATGTTAGAACCTACCTGGATTAGGTATGACTCTAATAACAGCACTGGAATCTTTAAAATATTTTTCCTTCATATTATTGTTATCCCATCTAGAAATAAAGTATGCCCCAATGTTTTCAGTTATTCTCTTATAACTCAGTAAAGTTGAGTGATTTTCTTCATGTTTTGCTCCTGACATTTTGGGTTAGGGTTAGTTCCAGGTACTTTCAGATTTCGGTTTGTTTTGTTTTGTTTTATTTGATTTATTTTGTGATTGGTGCTGTTGTTGATTCAAACAGGATTTTCCATCCTCCATTTAAACTCTCAGTTCGTACTAACTGCTCTCGGTTTTGCTGTGAGGCTTACTGAATTTGTCAGACTTTCTGATGGTCTCATACTTTCTTCCTCATTTAACTTGGAATGTTTGTACTTTTTCCCCATTAATTTTGTTGTTTACTTATCGGTTGAGGATAGACATTTTTAACCATGTCAGTAAATGTATTTTTGTTTGATTTGTGGTTTTTAGAGTTTTTAATAGGAACAGGTACTGAATTTCATTGGAGTTTTTTGAGCATTCATTTAGATATTCAATTTGGTTTAGTTTATTTGTGCTACATTAATAATTTTCCCAATAATAAAATTGTTTTTGGCAATGTTGAACTTCACTCCCTAATTTTATATTTAGAGTTTTCCCGTCTGTGTGCATGCTTTTCTTTGGGGTGGGGAGTGGCCTTTGTTATATTTTGATTTCCGTGTTAAATAGCCTCATACAGTCCATTTAGTAACTTTCCATGATTTTGTGGGTTCTGGAACACCTAGTAGAGCCTTGGAATCAGTTTTTTCTTGAAAGTCTGAGAGAACTTATTTTTTTTCTTTGAAGTTTGTTTAAAGAGTCATTTAAAAACTTTTCTTTTTTTAATTGTTGTGCTTTAAGTGAAAGTTTACAATCAAGTTAGTCTCTCATACAAAAATTTATACATACGTTATTATGTGACCCTTGTTGCTCTGTCTATACTGTGACAGCACACTGCTCCTTTCTACCCCAGATTTCTCGTGTCCATTCATACAGCTCCTGTCCCTTTCTGCCTTCTCATCTCACTTCTGGACAGGAGCTGCCATTTAGGCTCATGTGTCTGCTTGAGCTAAGAAGCACACTCTTCACGAGTATCATTTTATGTCCCATAGTCCAGTTTAATCTTTGTCTGAACAGCTGGCCTCGGGAATGATTTTAGTTTTGGGGTAACAAGAGAGTCTGGGGGCCATGTCTTCTGGGGTCCCTCCAGTATCAATCAAACCATTAAGTCTGGTCTTTTTACTACAATTTGAGTTCTGCACCCCACTTTTCTCCTGCTCTGTTGAGGACTCTGTTGTGTTCCCTGTCAGGGTGGTCGTTGGTGGTAGCCGGGCACCATCTAGTTCTTCTGGTCTCAGGCTGATGAAGTCTCTGGTTTATATAGCCCTTTCTGTCTGAGAGAACTTACTTTAAAACTGTCTTTCATGAAGACTTTTCCAGGGAGCTGATTGATGACTTTTGTGAAAGATTTATTTCTTGCTTTTTGATCATTGGAAGTTTTTTTTTTTTTTTTTAACTTCCTGTGTCTATTTCTGTAACTTACTTTTGCACCTAGCCCACACTTCTAAATTTAGTAGCATGTGCTGTTATGCACCTTACATATCTAAGTCTCTAAATCTTAAGTGTTTCTAGTTTTATTTGGTTAGCTTTTGTTTTTTCTTGTCAGATTTGCTTAAAAGCTTGTTCTATCATTTTTGCTTTGTTTCTTTGTTCTTTAAGAGAAAAGCTTTCGGATTATTGATCAATTTCGTTTTTCTGTTTTCTAACTCACTTTCTGCATTTATCTTTATCATCTTTTTTCGGTTTTTCATAATTTTTTTTTACAACTATTGATTACCTTATTCTTATTTTCATTTTTTATCTTAAATAATGAAAACCTGAAGGATTCTGAATGTAATTCTGAGTGCTGTTCTGTTCACATTCCAAAAGTTGCTTGTTCTCCCAGTGAAAAATGTTATTAAAGACATGCTTTTTCTGATCATTCAAGTTATTAAAGAAAATATAGACATATGTAAATGTAAATAGAAAATTTAAAACCATCCATATTCCTACTACCAAAGCTACCCAGTAATACATTTTGGGTTATATCATTCCCACCAAATACATTCTACAAAATACAGTTTTTAACCTTATTTGTTCACTTAACAGCGAGCTTTTCCCTATATCTTATAACAACCTTCAAAATTTTGTTCATTAGTGGTTACATGGTATTCTGTCACACAAATGTGTGAGTTTAGTTAACTAGTCCCTATTATTGAAACATTCCATTTTTTCCTGTCATAAATAATATTGTGATGTACACTTGTACATGGATCCTTTTGTGTATTTCTGTCTTTTCCCGTGGAATAAATTCTGAGAAATGGAATTTCATTTGAGGTAAAAAGTGTGAACTTTTAAAAGATTTTTGCAAAAGGGGTGAAGTCCTGATACACGCTGTAACACGAATGAGCCTTGAAAGCATCATGCCAAGTGAGAGAAGGCAGACATAAGTGGTTGTATACTGTGTGAGTCCGTTTATATCAATGCCCGCACTAGGCAAATCTGCAGAGACAGAAAGCAGATTAGTGGTTGCCAGGGGCTTGCGGGGAGTGAGAGGGGAGTGACTGCTAATGGGCAGGGGTAGATTTCTGTTTGGGATGATAAAGATGTTCTGGAATTAGTTTAGTGATAATGGTTCCACAAAGGCATCCTGGTGGCGCAGCGGTTAAGCTCTCGGCTGCTAATTGAAAGTTCAGGGATTCAAACCCACCAACTGCTCTGTGTGAGAAAAGGCGTGGTGATCTGCTCCCATGAAGACTGCAGTCTCGGAAACCCTATGGGGCAGTTCTTCTCCGTCCTGTAGGGTCGCTATGAGTTGGAATCGACTCAACAGCAGCTAACAACAACAGCAAAAAGAAAGTCCAAACTGTAAATGCTATTTGGAAATTCACTTTCTAAGCTTAATAATATATCATTAACATTTTCAATACAATTAAATATTTGTTGGAAAAATATATATATATTAAAAATTTTTTTTTATTGTACTTTAGATGAAGGTTTACAGAACAAATAGTTTCTTACATATATTGTTTTATGACATTGGTTAACAACCCCATGGCATGTCAACACTCTCTCTTCTCGACTTTGAGTTCCCTGTTATCAATTTCCCTGTCCCTTCCTGCCTTCTAGTTCTTGTCCCTGGACTTTTGTGCCCCATTAGTCTCGTTTTGTTTTATGGGCCTGTCTAATCTTTGGCTGAAGGGTGAACCTCAGGAGTGACTTCATTACTGAGCTAAAAGCGTGTCCAGGGGCCATACTCTCGGGGTTTCTCCATTCTCTGTCAGGCCAATAAGTCTGGTCTTTTTTTTGTGAGTTAGAATTGTGTTCTCCATTTTTCTCCAGCTCTGTCTGGGACCCTTTGTTGTGATCCCTGTCAGAGCAGTGGGTGGTGGTAGCCGGGCACCATCTAGTTGTACTGGACTCAGTCTGGTGGAGGCTGTGGGGTAGCTGTGGTCTATTAGTCCTTTGGACTAATCTTTCCCTTGTATCTTGTTTTCTTCATTCTCCATTGCTCCTGAAGGGTGAGACCAGTGGAGTATCTTAGATGGCTTCTCACAGGTTTTTAAGACCCCAGACGCTACTCACCAAGGTAGAAGGTAGAACATTTTCTTTATAAACTAGGTCATGCCATTTGAGCTAGATGTTCCCTGAGACCATGGTCCTTACACCCCTCTGCTCAGCAGTTCGGTCCCTCAGGGAGTTTGGATGTGTCTATGGAGCTTCCATGACCTTTCCCTGTACAAGTTGTGCTGGCTTCCCCATTATTGTGTACTGTCTTACCCTTCACCAAAGCTACCACTTATCTGTTGTCTATTTAGTATGGAAAATATATTTTATGTATTAGCATATTTAAGTAAATTTCTATTGTTGGGCATATTGAGATCTCCTTCACTTTTATAACTTAACAAACACCATGCTTCCTCGTATGCAGATATTTTTGTACATCTCCGCCCTTTGCTGAGGGTAATATATTAAAGTGAATTTGCGGTTTAAAGGGTCTGAGTATTTTCCTAGATTCAGATCTGCTCATTTACCCTCTGCCAGCAGTCAAGGAAGTGTCTTTTTCCTTCAACTCT